GATTAATTTAGTTAGTGTCTAGATTAATTTAGTTAGTGTCTAGATTAGAGGAGATTAAAATGAGTTTCAAAGAATATTAACTACAACTACATATTAACTACAAGATGAATAAATGCTGTTTGTGTGTTTCTGTTCTATAAGATGAACAGAACCAGAATAAGAACCAGAGTTCATGCAAAGTAAAGAGAGAAATACTCACCGTTTGGAGAACTTCATGCTGCTGCAGTTTTGTTTTGTGACGCAGGAGAAGAAATGTGATTTTGATAAAAAAAATATTTAGCAAGATGTCACTTTTTTCATGAGAGAAGAGACGATGTTGATAAAAGAGAGAGAGAGACAGACAGAGAGAGACGGATAGAGAGAGACAGACAGAGAGACAGACAGAGAGAGACGGATAGAGAGACAGACAGAGAGAGACGGATAGAGAGAGACAGACAGAGAGACAGACAGAGAGAGACGGATAGAGAGAGACAGACAGAGAGAGACGGATAGAGAGAGACAGACAGAGAGAGACAGACAGACAGAGAGAGACGGACAGACAGAGAGAGACAGAGAGAGAGAGACAGAGAGACAGAGAGAGAGAGACAGAGAGAGACAGAGACAGAGAGAGACAGAGAGACAGAGAGAGAGAGACAGAGAGAGAGAGAGAGACAGACAGAGACAGACAGACAGACAGAGACTCTCTGCTGACATCTGGTGGTTCATCCTGAACACAACACTCAATATTTACCTGTTTAAATAAAAGTTCAAACGACTTCTCGATGCTCGAGAATTGAATTCTCTGCGTCTGTAAAACTTTAATAATCAAATCTACAACATTTGTCTGGTTTAGTAGAAGTAAGAAAATATAAAGATACTATTTTAAATAAACTCTCCTTCAGTAAAGTTAAAGAAATAAAATCTTAGCAAATAAAAAACTTCCAGACGTCGTCTGTTAAAGAATTGCAGTCGACATCATTGCCTTATTCCAAAAAACAATTTAATGGCACGAGTTTTTCCAATTCCATGAAAAAAGGTGAGAAGCAACAAGCAGGAAGTGAAGGTCTCTAGGAAGTCTCGAACATCTTCTTCCTGTCGGCTTTGTCCTCGATGTTCTTACGCCAGTCGCCGACCGCCTCGCCGGGCTGCAGGACGGACAGATTGAGCACAGAGCGTCCGACACGGAGACGATATTTACGAAGACCACGACGTCAGCGAGACTCACCTCCTCCTTGACCTCCTTCTTGACCTGCTTCAGGTTGGACCTCAGGTCCATGGTCACCTTGTGTTTCCCTCCCAGCAGAGCCTTCAGCATGGCGTCAGCAGACATGCGGACCTTCTTCAGGGCCGGCTTCTTCACTCCGGCCAACTCCACCACCTTCATCTTCAGATCGTCGATCTGAGAGACAGAGTACACACTGATGTACTAAAGTACTACTCACTAATGTACTAAAGTACTACTCACTGATGTACTAAAGTACTACTCACTGATGTACTAAAGTACTACTCACTGATGTACTGAAGTACTACTCACTGATGTACTGA